AGCAAAAAATTTTAGGCTGCTAGTATTTTTTTTACTAGATATAGAAATTTTAAAAAATACAAAAAAAATAAATAAAGAAGCTGCCCATCTAAAATTATTAAAAAAAATTTAAAAATATAATAAAAGTACAAAATAATCCTTCACAGATCAGATATTGGAATGGATCGGATTAAACATTCAGCAGATGGAAATCGTTTGGATGATGATTAAAAGAGTTTAATTTTTGAAAAAGAGTAAATAGGATGTTGCTATAGTGGTTGACAGAGAGAGTATAGCAAAGCAAAAGTATAGATTGTTCATACTCACTTTTGTTTTTTCCAATCCAGAATTTGACTTGATTAAAACAGAATCTACCTGTGCTCATAGAGAACAGAAGAGGGAAATAAATGTCGGTGTTTAAGAGGATTGAAACTCAAAGATTTTTGGCTCTTGTATAAGTGACTACACTTAATTGTTAAAAATTTTCATACATTGATGTTATATTAGAAATTTATTTCTATATATAAATAAATATAATTCGATTTATTTTAATTATTTATTTTTTAAAACCGAAACCAAAAGGATCCAAAATAACATAAGTTTTTAATAAAATTTAAATCAAACCAAACAAATGAGTAAAAATCAAACTGAAATAATTGAAATTGAACCAGTTTTATTTGATTTCCATTAACCGAGCATTTACTGAGTTTTAGGTTGTGTTCGGCAATAACTTTTTAAGTAGCTTTTAGCGTTTTTACCCCAAATGCTAATTTTTATAGTGTTCAGTAACATAGTACTTGAACTAGTGCTATTTTTTACAGTGTTCGGTAACATAGCGTTTTATAAAAAGTTAGTTTTAAAAGTTTTATAAACAAACTACTCAAACAGCTAATACCTAAATGTTATTAGAACAATAAACAACTACCACAATAATTAATTTTACCAGATAGACTCTTGATTAAAAAAGGAAGGAGGTAAAAAATATTTTTTAAAAAATAAAAAAGATAATAGTTATATGGATTAATATATTTTATATTACCTCTATTCCATAATACTCGTCACATTTGATAAAACAAATAGTTTTAAAATACTTATCGCATTTATAGTTTCAAGGAGTAATAAATTTTTTTTTTTCATATTTACCCTTTGTATATGATCAATAATTATTACCTAAATGTAATGATTTTCTTAGAGAATTAGTAGTATTAAATTAAGGATAATATAGTCAATTTACTCAATAATTTATTATAATTTAGACAAATTTAATAGTTTTCTTAAGTAACGAGAAATTTCTAACAAATAATTCGAAAGAGAAAAAAAAATTTGTCTTTTAGTAGAAAATATTTGTCTATCTTGGTGTATGAAATCAATTCACCGACATATATCAAGCTGATAATGAATTACCATATTTTATTAAAAATTTTATGTAACAATATTCGGGTTCATGGCAGTACACCATTGAATTTTGTTATTCCAAAAAGAAAAAAGAATTTTTGACAGATGTATATTTTATTTAAAAATAATTAAAATATATAAAAAAAATGAAATATTTTCTTTGAGAGTTTTCTTTTTTCACTAATTTTAACAACATTTTATTTTATATTATTACAGCATTTAAAATAAAATCTTAGCCAAAAGGAAAGAGAATTAAAGTCTTGACGCGGTAAAATTTATATTATCGGTAAATTTTTTGAATGCTCCAAATTCTATTTGAGTGTCTAATAATATTAGTGGTTATTTTTATCAATTAAGGGAACGCCATGCTTTTGAAAGTAAATCACCAAAAGTCAAAATCTCCGCATTTTGGTGAAAAGGACATCAACAGTGGGCCAGGCAGGTGGGTAGGTGGGTTCCGAATTTATTAAATTTCAAAACGTTTTTTATCCATTAAAATTTTTTTAAAAAAATATCTTATTAAAAACTAAAAAAAATCATAAAAATGAATTATTTTTAAAAATAAATATATTCATCGAATTTTTTTGAAGATCGAATTATGAAATATTTTTTGACAAGGATAAATTATTTTTCTCTGTATTATTCTCATAGAAGGTAATTTATTCTATAATTTTTTCAAAATAATTAATTCCTATTTTTAAATAATATTATCCTCATAAAATTTTTCAAAAGGATGGCTTCCCTTGCACACGTCAAAAGTAGAGTAAATTGTTAAAAAAAAAAAACAGAGAAAAAGGAAACAAACTCTTAATGAATAAAATTAAACTTTTCGAAATGCGAGTACTTAGGGTATAATATTTGGATTTATGGAAGTTTTTCAAAAAAAAAAAAAAAATTCAAAAAATCATTTCCCTTAGATATAATATTTGGATTTCCTTAGAAATTATTTTCTAAAAATAAATTAATTTCAAGAAACAAACAAAGGTTTAGTCAAGATTATAAAAATAAATTATTTAATAATGTTTATAACACTTTAAATGTGTTTATAATAATTAAGAGAGATTTTAATTAGTAAGCTTTATTGATATAGTATTAAAATTTGATTTTTAAATTGAATGATTTATGGATAATATATTCGTTCCAAAAGGTTTTTTTTTTTCTATAATTTAATTTTGTTTTTCATAATAGAAGATACTCCAGCATTATTGATATGACTTCAGGAAAATGTAAAGAAATATATGCTAAAAGGCCCTTTTGATTGAAAGAAATATTATTATCCTTAGACCCGTGGCTGCGACATGTCGTTGTGTTAGGCCAATGAATGAAAATGGAAAAAAAAAGAGTGAATGAAATTTAGCTGTCTTTTTTTTTTTAAAAAAAAAAAGAGGGAATGAAATATTATTATTCTTTTTTTTTTCTTTAAAAAAAAGAATAAAATTTAGCTGTCTTTATCACATGATTCTAGGAAGTGGCACATGATGATACATGCCACCAAGATTTATATGATCACACTCATAATATCATTTCCTCTGCCTTTTTGTCTTTGAAGAAGTACCAAAAATCCTTAAACATTAAACCATCTGCCCATTATCAATAATACAAGCATACATGTTCCTTATTTGTCTCCCCAATTGGGTTTTTTTGGGACAAAATACATGAAAAAAGAAACCTAGTTTCCACAAATATTTTTAATTAATTAAATATATAAAATTTTGAAATTAGTGACTATAATGTAAATAAATTAAGAAGAATTTTACCACTTTCAAAAATGCAATAAAAAAATGTAAGTTTTATTTGCATAATACTTTATTTCCAAATCATTGAAAGAACAAATTAATATTTTACCAACTAATAAATTTAGAAGTGTAAAAATATAATAAAATTTGATATTTTGCTCTTGAATATGTAAGTAAAAACAATTTTTGCATATTGATTTAGTAGCATTTTGAAAATTAATTTTTTTAAAATGTGAGTAGAGGGTTAAAAGTAATACATTCTTGAAAGTTTATACATTTTATTTTTTTTAAAGAATATATTTTAATTAATAACAACCAAATTATATAAGCTAAAAATTGAATAAATATACTTGATGCCTGGTAAACAATAAAAAATAGTCAAATTATATAAATATTATTGTCATTTATATTCTATTTTCTTAAAGTTATAATATTATCAGTTATTTTTAAATAAATAAAAATAGTTTTAAAAAATAAAAATAATTTTTTTAATTTACATAATATTTGAAATAATTTCTAAAGAGGAATTTATTTTAATACAACAAAATTATTAAATTCTTACTTTTGAGATTTTTGAACTAGTCCTTAAGATTTCTCTCGTAATCACGTGATTGATATAAGAAGTACATAACGTAAAATTTCAATTATTTAAATAATTAATTATCTTTTGGGTTCTTACTTTAGGTTACAAATGATATAATCGTAATAATATAATATAGTATACGCTAATTGAATAGTCAAGGATTAAGACGGATGGCCACTTGGCTTCTTCTGATTAGATGTTTCTCTGCACAACAAAGTGCCATTTTATTTGGAAAGTGAATAAAAGGAGAAAATATTGTGGGTTATATATTGCCACGCGTAACCATAGAACGCGACTTGTAGTGGAGACCAGCCTTTGGCGGGTCCACGTCACCCATCTTCAATGGCCAACCGGGCACTCGCTGACCTGTACGCGGTTTAAGCGGTTCGAATCTGTGTCGAATAAGGAATAGCGTACAACCATATATACATGTGTAGGGAACTCCGTTATAAATTCGCTAATTTACTTTACACTGTTATTTTGGCCGAGTGATAAAAAAAAATTTAAACTTTGACCATTCATCATTCAGTAACTGTGTATTTATTTTTTCCATTTAATTTTGACTTTCACTTATATTCATCAAATTAGTGCTGATGTGACCATTGTCTTTTATAAATTAACGCACAAAAAGCAAAGTTAGCAACACTAAATATGCATTAACTATACCAAATCTCATACCTAGCTACTACGACACTATTTCAAGCTAAATTTTTAATTTTTTTTATTTAAAAATTAACATAAAAGCTTAATCCAAAAGAATTTTTAAAATCCCAAATATTCTTCTTTTTCTTTTCATCAATCTAAAACCCTAAATTCACCATTGATCCCATTTCCTTGAATGCGACACTTTATTTTCTTTATCTTCTCCAATTTAATTTAACAAAGCGTGTTTTTCTCTTTATCTTTTTCTTTTTTGACTTTCCATTAAGATGTTTTTAGGATGAGCTGTGATTGACAGATAAGGATAACGTTAGAGATAAAAAATCGATGACTTAGCATTGACTTAGCACGAGTGAATTCACTTTTGAGATTCAACAACTATGTCGGCACAATTTAGGCAAAAATATTAATAATTGATAAGAAAAAAAAGTTTAGTACAAAATGTTGATTGATACAATTCAAAGAATTGGCTAAACTTAATAAAATGATTAAAGATCAACATTTTTTTTATTATTTGACTATTTATTTTTAGCTTTTACATATGAAATATTATTAGATATGTGATTATTTTAAATTTTAAAATAATAATTTTCATATTTTTTAATTTAGTAAAAAGTTAATTGACATAATTTTATAAATTAGAATATTTACTAGAAGGAATTTCAATATGATTTAGCTTAAAATATTCAATGGATCAAGCTAAGCCTTTGTTTGGATCAGAATCCCCTTTTGACGGAAGAAAAGTACTCGTGAAACATATTTAGGAAAAAGTGTCTGTCCTTTTTTCTTTTGAAAAGTGCAGGAAAATATTAAAGAAAATAATTCTCGATTTATTTTTCATTCGGATCCATATGGATTGATTCGCATTGGCGTGGAATTATTACGAGAGAATGTAAATTCTCGAAAACCAAACAAAGCATAACAGATGGCATCATCAACACATCAGTAGCCACGTGAGCTTATAACACTGAAAGCAGCCACGCTTTTCAATACTTCTTATTACTATTAATCAGTTCTTCCAATTTATTAATTATCCACGTTTAATTTAATTCATTAAATATATAATCACCACTACCACTACCATTGCCATTAATATTTCTTCTTAATCATAGCTCCTAACTTCTCTCCAACTGTTTTCTTTCCTATTGGTCTCTCCCTCCATTTTTCTGCAACTTCCTGTGATCTCTCCCTCTGTCTCAACTCTCACCTTCTTCAGCTCCATTTTCTTTTATCCTTCTCTTTCCCCCTTTTCAATTTTGTTTCCCTGAAAAATAACATTTTGAAGTCATGAAATATTCACAGACCATGGCGTCTCGCTCAAAGCACCAACCAGAGGTTTGTTTCACTGTCTTTCTTTCTCTCGATTTTGGTTAATTTTATTTAGATTAGGTTTTGCTTAATTATATTTTACTAAGAGATTAGTTGGGCAGAGCAAAAGTTGGGCTGAAACCTGTTGTTGTTTGGGTTGTTCGTCCCTACAGCTGTTTTGGCCCAGAGTAGTTATTCGTAAATGGCTCAATATCACTGCCAAAGATTCTGATTACAGCGCCGATACTGACTCCGATTGTGACGATGACGACGACATTGGTTCTCTTTGTGATACCCAAGGTAACTCTACTTCATTATAAATCTTGAAAGCGAGAAAAAAAAATAAGTTATATATTTGTTCATTTATGAAGAAGGTTTTGTAATTTGTAGAATTTTCTCATTTGGGGGGAGAATCGCGGTTTAAAAGTAACAGAGGAGAGGATATTCAGGGTGATTCTACCAATGGTAATGTTTATTCTATGATGTTAGTGTTCGTGGGAGTCAATTTGGTGTGTTGTTGCATCAAGATGCGATCCAATCCTATCTTAGGATTTGTGAAGAAGATAGGTCAATGATTTATAATTATGTTTCCTTTCTTATATAAGAGCTGGCACATTTTGTTGAAAATGGGAGATGAGGCCAGCTATAAGTTGACCAAGTTAATGAAGTTAGGTGCCAATACATTATCACTACTTTATTTACCTAGTTATTGATTTGTTCAAACCTGGAAAAGTAATCCTTTAATGGTTTGTTTTGGTTGGCAATTGACAACTAGTTGCTTTTATTTTAATTTTAAATATGAATATATTTTAGAAATTGAATTATTATTGTGATTTGCTTCAGCCATTAGTGGACACTCCTCATGAATGCTGAATCATTCTATCACACTGTCAGTTGACGAAATAATTTTTCTTTTTTGCTGATGACTCCACTTAATCTATCAGATTGGTTTTTCAAATTCTACTTAAAAAAATAAAAAATATTAAAGGATTCATCTATTCTTGGCTGCTTTTGATCAGAAGTTTCGTCATATTGTGTTGCACCTTTTAATTGAGCTATTTCTTCTTTGTTTTTTCACACTTCAGATGCTCTTCCAAGGTTAAGGAGACGAAAATCAGAAACTTTTAGGACACAGTATATAAATAACAAGGAACTAAGGTCTAGTGCTCATCCTTATTATCCTGAGAATCAACATATCCGTAAAGTATAATTTTATTGGTTCTGCTAATTGCAGTTCTATCAGTTTTTGTTGGCTTGAAATCTCTTTCCTGTTTGTCTCCGTCTTCCCAGTGCAGATATTTTCAAATCTCAATTACAAATGTCTAAAACTTGTTGAACTTCTCTCCTGTAGGATATGTGTTGGTACATGGAATGTCGGAGGAAAACTTCCACCTGATGACTTAGATATTGATGATTGGATTGATACTGATAACCCTGCTGACATTTATGTGTTTGGGTAAGTGTTCTTCCGAATCTTTTTTTTTCTTCCATTGTGGAGATACATTTATAACTGATATTCTGTCAGTGTCATATAATAAGAGATTAATTTTATTCCAAACTTCAGTTTTTTATCTTCTTGACTGGACTCCAGCAGTTATTCTTGCTTTTTATTTCTTTAACAAAGTGCATAATCTGTTTCCCAGTTTTGTTATTCTAAACTGTTTTGGAGCTTTCTCTTTATTGGTTTGAATCTTTTGTGCATCTCAAGAAAGTCACTTGAGAAATGTTATATAAATGCTTCACTTTTGTAGTCTTCAGGAGATTGTACCATTGAATGCTGGGAATATATTTGGAGCTGAAGATAACCGCCCGGTTCCACGGTGGGAAAACATTATTCGTGATACACTGAATAGAATTCGACCAACAAAGACCAAAATTAAATGCTATAGTGATCCCCCATCTCCATCAAAATTTAAACCGTCTGATGATGTGCCAGATATTGAAGAGGAGATATTACTTGAAAGTGATAGTGATATTGGAGAGGAAATTCATCCTTTTGATGAAGAATCCAATGTCTTGCATGAAGACAAAGATAGTCTAGTCAATGATAGTGGTAAATTAGGTGTCTCAGAACAACAGGATTTGGAGAGGCAATTTTCTTCCCCAAAGAGATTAGATCGATTAAATTGCTTGCGGACAGAAGATTCTGCTGGAGATGTAGAAGTACTGGCAGTCCAAAACAACCGCAAGTTAACCAAAATGCTAAGTGGCACTGAAAGGATTGGTTTGAGCTGGCCAGAGCCCCAGTTAGACCTTCTGTCTCAGCATGTGTTACAGAGACCAACTTCATTCAAATCAGTTAAATCTTTCAAAACAAGCAAGTCTTTTGCAGCACATAATTCTTTCAAGTCAGTCACAAATGAAATGCAATCAGAATTAGTTTTGCTTGCGGACCTTGACCTTGAAGCCCTTATGAAAAGGAAACGACGATCATCATATGTAAGGATAGTAAGCAAGCAGATGGTTGGAATTTTCCTTACAATTTGGGTTCGTCGGAGCTTGCGTAAGCATATTCAGAACTTAAAGGTGTCTACTGTTGGTGTCGGTGTCATGGGCTACATTGGTAACAAGGTCTGCCTCATTACGTTTTTATGCTAGTTTTTGAATTTTTTTATTCTTTATCTTCTTCCTCTTGATATTATTATCATTTTTATTTTGAGCGTTCCATTGGACCAACTATCCAAACTTTGACAATGTTGCAAAGCATATATTGCCACATTGATATTATTAAGTCCGTAAGGCCAAACTGGAAACCTTTCTTTCTTTATCTGATGGTTATGTTGTTGCATTATTTTGGCTTGGGATAAGTGCTTGCATTCTTTTATTAGATTTTCTTCCTTTTTGTGTATTTACATCTCTAATAAATTTTATCTCTCTTTTTTTTTTTGGGATAATTTGTGTGAGTGTGTTGCATCGCATTGGAGCGTGAACTTGTGCCTTTACAACCTATTACTTCAATTTGGAAGCTTCTAATGGGTCCCAGTATGACCCAAATCCTGAAATGACAAGGATACTTAAGATTTTATATCTAATTCACATTCAGGATGCTCCTTAGCTTGGGCTTGTGATAATATTACATGTTGTGCTGGCTAGCTAGATCACCCCAAAAATTTGCTAATCATATGCGCAATTAATCTGAAGTGTGCTGGCCTGGAGTTGCACTTGGCTTTGCTCGTAGTCATCACATATCCTAGCTTGACTCACCTATATAGCTGATTACCAGATTTTGCATATGCAACCCTACAATTACTATTCCTACACAGTTGCAGCATCATCCTATTAGCATTTTCATGTATACTAAGAACTGTAGTGTAGAAGTAATGCCAATGAATGAAAAGGGCAGAATTCTATTTCAATATATTATCATCATCTTTCAATTGCTGGTAATAAAAAAATGTATGGTGCTGGAAATTGGTGCCTTTGTAGCATAATTTATTTTGGGTGACAACCTTGGTTTGTTTTCGGAGAATGCCTTAGTATGAACTTCATAATATTTACAAAAGCCAGCTGATGTGTATATCTGAGCTATTTTGAATAATCTTATTAGAACTTGCATTCATGTTTTTAGAGACAATCTTTTGGAAATACAAATATAGGTCTTGTTCATGAAAAGAGAAATGCTTCATCATTCTTGCTTCCAGTGCCTAATATTGGACATCATGCAGGCAAAAACTAGTGCCCAAAGTTGGAAGTTTTGATTAGTAATGGTATTTTGGTCATTTCATTTTGGAATGCATAAGGACTTGATCTTTTGGTATACTTCTCCAAACACTAAGATGGTTCTTCAATCTTCCAGGGATCAATATCAGTCAGTATGTCTATATATCAGACCCTTTTCTGTTTTATATGCACTCACCTGACATCAGGTGAGAAAGATGGAGATGAACTCAAAAGGAATGCTGATGTGCATGAAATACTCAGAAGAACTCAATTTCGCACGATTTCTGGAATCGGGCTTCCAAAAAGCATCCTTGATCATGAGTGAGTATGCAACATCTATATAATACATGGAGAACAGGTTTCTTTAGGGCTATTTAAAATCCAGCACACCATTATAATTCTTCAATTTTGCATTTGTGAATTTTCTTGAATTTTTTTGTTTATAAGTTATTTTAATACTTAAATAACTGAATATGAAAAGAGATAAACTGGCTTGTTATATGTATTATTTGGAGAAATTAATTAAATGGAGATGAATTAGTTCCTCAGACATAGAGTGGGAAGCACAGAGCTGGGGGCCATTTTGTTGGTGATTCCTGTTATAATAGCTGTAGAGCTTTCAGTTCATATTTATGGGTGTTGTCAAATACCCAAAATAAATTCATAATCATGTTTTGTCCGGAGTGAGGATGTGCGAGATTGATCATGTGAGAGCAATACTGCTTTTCATACATCATATTATCTTATTTTGACATCAAATATGGAGATACATGGCTGTTGAATGCTGTTTGATACCTGGAACACCTCATAATGCATGAGCGCATAAAGTACATGCATATCTGCGTATTGTAGAATCTGTGAGTATATATACTCAAGGCATGCAGGGATAGTTATGCCTACAGGCAGAATTCACTTCGATGGCCTTTCTGTGAGATGAGGTGTTTGACATTGCATTGAACTTAATAATTTTTGTGGTGTTCTTCTTTCCATGATTCTGCTAACAATTCACATAAGAAGCAGAGAATAAAATATGCAAAGAGCATTGCATGTCAATTGACCTAGAAATCAAACTATATTTTTGCACATTTTCTTTGCAAAAAAGAATAATTAAAAATGATTGCTTGGTAAAATCTTTTCTGATTACTTATAATTCCTGTGATTTGTCTAGTTTTTGAAAATGATTTTTCTGAAAAAGGACACGCTTAAAGACAGATTTTGTAGATTTGTTGAATTTTTAGAAACATGTAAGGATGTGCTTCTGGTTGATAAGTGATCTTAGAAACTCATTTTTTGGGTTGACTTATCAATACATGTCAAAATTATTGAAAGAAATTGGATTGGCTGTAAACTCTAACAAATGCTGAGTGCATGCTTAAGAATGGATTCAACAGTTATGTCAGGATTTTCTTTTCTCCCATGGAGTTGGAATATATTATGCTACTTTATGGAGACAACCTGAACTCAGGAATCCTTTCTTTTTTTGGGGGGGAGGGGGAGGCATTTGATTGTAGATGTTGCATCGCACTTTGTGATGCTGCACGTAAGTTTTTGTGGAAGCAGCAGGTGGTGGTAGGTGGTGGGGAATCCAGGTAAATTGTCCAAATTTTGTTGCTTATGAGAAGAAGACAACATGAATAAGAAAGAATGGGGAAGGTACTGCTGACATGGTGGCAAAGACCTTCCTTTCAGTTTATGCGTGAAGCTTCCCTTAGTAACATGTATTTGTTTGTACTTCTTCCATTAGCCTGAGATTTTGAATTAGATTTTTGGAAAAGGAAGCATATTGGATTATATTGAGGAACTCTTATGTCTCAAATTTCAGGGATATCCAAATGTCGTCAGAGGATATGATAAACAATCTCATAAAATTTAAAGAAATGTTAATTTATGCTTGTGTTGCAAATATTTATGTTTTTTATGAACTTCATAGTCTAATGCTAACTTATGTATTGCCTTACTAATATTTTTCTGCAGAAGAATTATTTGGCTGGGTGATTTGAACTACCGCATCAACTTGCCATATGAAAAAGCACGTGAACTAATCTCCCAAAAGGAGTGGTCCAAGTTAGTAGAGAGGGACCAGGTATGCTTGAAATTTTCATGATATACTTAATGGTGTACCCGGTTGCTGTTTGAGAAGAAAAGTTTGAAACCAAACAGTAAATTACGGTTTCTAAATTTTTAAAATTTAATTAAAGTATTTTAGATATAAAACTGTACAAAATTAATTTTAAACAATGTGGTTTAGTTCATTTCTAAAACAATTTGGAACAAATAAATAGTTCTATTCAATATAACTTTAATGTACTTATCAAAATAACATTTGTTTTTGGCTGATTTGCTATTTTTTCTTTTAAACTCACAATTTTTTTATTCAAAATAACGAAATGTTTGATTCTAAGTTGTATTTCAAATGAAGAATATCAGTTGGATCCATGATCGTCATTCATAGTGTAGATCGAAAAAAGGAAATAATTCAATAGTATTCTTAGTAAATACCTAATTAATTTTATTTAAAATAATATTGTTATGCTTATCGAATTATTATTTGTTTTTTGCTCATGTGAATTATTTTTCTTTAAACTAAGAGTTCATTATTTTTTTGATTATTGAAAATAACAAAATATTTGATTCTAAGTTCTCATTCAAATGAAGAATATCAGTTATATTAATGATCGACATTCATAGTGTTAATCTAAAAAAGAAAATTAAATATTTTTCTTAGTAAATATCAATTGTCATATCATATAATACTAATTCATAAAATACTAAAATTTAGACGCACGTATATATTATTAATAGTACATAAACAAGTACACTTTACAGTTTGTTTTGGTTTACTTTTAACAAGAAAATTGAAGCCAAATATTGAACTGGTTTTATAAAACTATAAACCAAATTGTTTTCTTCCAAGAGCCTAATTGAACTAAATTACTTAATTCAATTTGGTCTAATCCGGTTTAGCAGTTTAGCTTGAATAATGAACAACCCTTGATATACTTTAGATGGATGGGGCATTATCCATCACTATTACTTGGCTCTTTTATATGTTTGCATGCATGTGTATATGCAGAGTTGGGTGGTTTGAATTTTGTTTTCACTTTGAACTTATTATTTTGAGACAGTTTGTTTAGATCATCATGAAAGTAGAGGACTGCAAATTTGGTGTGTCTCAATTCCATTGCAGTTTTCTTTTCTCATCAACGTTGGGTTCAAAGTAATTTAAGGTTGGCAAGATGTGAACTAGCCGTTAATTTCACCAATTTATTGTCATGGCAGCTTGTGCGAGAACTAAGAAAAGGTCGTGCTTTTGATGGATGGGCTGAGGGTAAATTAAATTTTGCACCAACTTACAAATATGAGATGAATTCAGACAAATATTATGGAGAGGATCCTAAGGCTGGGAGGCGTGTTCCAGCATGGTATAGATGTTTTCCCTAATTTTTGCTAATATTTATTTGGTACCCTACGATGATTAATAGCACACACATCTTATTGTTTTGTAATTAGTTTCTTCTGTAACTTTCCATAATTTGTGCTAATATTCTAGGTGTGATCGCATCCTTTCCTATGGAAAGGGAATGAAGCTATTGAATTACAGGAGAACAGAGCTCAAACTCTCTGATCATCGACCTGTGACAGCCACATATATGGCAGAGGTTGAGGTATTCTGTCCTAGGAAACTACAGAGGGCACTCACGTACACAGACGCAGAGATTGAAAATGAAAACGAGAATCTTGTAGAAGAAAACATTGATGTTGGTATGAGCTACTTGAGATTAGAGCAGGTGAGTTATATCCTATATCTTTGAATATGGACAGATTTCATATTCTATTTGTCTCAAGGATGCATTAAATCTATTCATATTTTTGAAGTATTTTCTAACTTTCAAAAGATAACATAATTTGAAAATAAATAATAATATTATCTACCTTTTATAAAAAGATTATATATTATATTAATTAAAGCTCATAGTTTAATTCTTTTCAAATTGTCAACTGCTTATGAAATTATTCTCCTTTTAATTTCATGTAGGCAGTTAAAATGTCAATATGGTGTGGTAAATAGGAAGTTAAAACTGAATCAGGATATGGCTTATAAGTCGGACTTTAGGTTGAACTAGATTTGATTTGGCCTTAATTTGTTTTTGAATTATTTGGACTGAATAAACTAAACCAATGGAATGCTCATTAGCAGGGCTTTAAACAATGGAATGGGAAACAGTTCCAGAATCAGAAACCTTGTAACGGAATTGATTCAATTGGACCATACCTGATTTAATCACCCATTGCTATTATGATTAGTATTTCAAAATTGGAAAAATAACTCAAATGAAATATTTTAACGAATAATTCAACTAACTGTCAGCATAATGCTGTATGTCTATTATAATGCTGTATGTCTATTAGTTCATAGTGAAAAAATTGTAGTCAAAGAAACGGTTTATTATAAACTTTGTATAAAAATATGTGATTTCTAACCATATTGGTAAGATAACATCCAAAAATGCCTGATGAGAACATATTGGCCGATATTTAAAACCCTGTTCACCCACCTCAATGCTGTAGCTGTAAAGTAGTTTGAGCCGCCTTTTCCCCTCGAAATATATATTTGTATCTATTTGTGTGTTGGATTCTTATATCCTACAACTCTCATGAAATGAGATGTATTTAAGGTATATTTGGTAAGTTGAAATGGAATGTAATATAATGTAATCAAGTGTATTTACAGTTTAAATATTACATTAGAAATACATTTGATTACATTATACACATTTCATTAGAGCTTAATAAAATATAAGGCCTGTTTGATTTAACTCTCGTAGTAGCTGGTAGTGGTTGCTAATGGTTATAGCTGGTGGCTGATAGTGTTAGTTGATGAATACTGGTGTTTAATAAAATTTTAATAGTGGTTCATGTTGAAATGTAAAATGACCATTAAAGGTTTAATTATTTTCATAAATTATCATATATCATATATGTATTCAGATTTTGTTATTTTTTAAGGCAAATATATTATTTTACATTTTAATTTGTTTTATAAATGAAAGATATTAATTAATTTTTTATGAGATTAATATTTATTATCTTTAATTAATTACAAATAAAATGATCATACAAAAATGTTAATATGAAAAAAAGAAAATAGTATTCATTGTTTATACAAGGTTAATAGAGCCCAAATAGATACAAATACGAATAAATTAGTAGCTGACAGGAAAAAAAACTCTAAAATGCAGCTGATAGAATCAACAGCTGATTAGCTATCAGCTGGTAATTATATAATTCTTACCAAACACCTCTATCCTAATTGTTGGATGCAAATTAACTATCAATTATATGCTCTTGTATCTTATTTTATTTTGATTTCATCTTTGTGTTCGTGTGAAGTCCTGCACATAAAGTCTCTGAAGAATCCTACCTTATGCATGTTTGGCTTTGAGTGGCTATAAGCAGCATCCTTGCAGTGGCACACTCAATAGGTTACCTTTCTATGTTTATTGGGTGTAGAGTGCATTTATATCTTTTTTCTGCAAAATAAGAAAACATAATTTTATGATGACATGAGAAAGAGATCATTTGAGGATTGCAAAAAAAAAAAAAAAAAAAAAAAAATAAGAAAACCATAATTTTATGATGACATGAAGAAAGAGATCATTGAGGATTGCAAAAAAAAAAAAAAAAAAAAAAAAAAAAAAAAAAAAAAAGTGGTTTTGCATCATTTCACATAACTATATCAGTTTGAGGTTGAGTAATTGGTGGATGTATCTAATAGTTGCCTGGAAATGAATTATCCATGTTCAGCTCGACCTCGTTTAAGGATTCTAATCTAGAAAAAGAATTGACAGCTTGTACTTCTGTTGTATCAATTATCATTTCAACAATCAACTTCTCCCATGATGATGCATAAGCATTTTCCTTGTTTGCTTGACGTGACTTTTTTCAACTCTTATACAGGAATTTTGTGCATGGGAGCGGTGAGGGAAACTACTTGATGTAAGGGTGAAGTAGCTGAGAATCAGAATCCTGCTGTTATTGCTACATAGAAACTTAGATTCATTCTTTTGGTTTTGCATTTTTTCATGATATTGTATATTACAGTTATTGCTAGCGTGTCAATGGTAGAGGTTTTAGCTTAGGGTTTATAGGAATGTGCATATAGAATGTATCGCAGTTTGGTTTTGTGTGTGCATTAATGTATGTAATATGTGAATTTAGATATCAATCCAATCTCACAGGTTGTACATTATATATATATATATTTGAGGTTTATTTATTTTTATTTTTTTTTATTTTTTAAAAGAAAACTCATGTTGTGCTCTTGTTTAAACTTAGTTCATATATGGTGTTTACTCTAATGTGAGGCTAACCCCTTGTTTTGCGGAATTCATTTAGAAATCTACATTTTTGTGTTTGAAATGAAAAAAAAAAAAAAAAAAAAAAAAAAAAAAAAAAAAATTCAATTCTAGGAATTCAATTCTATGGAATTGAACAAAACTACACTAATGTTTCATTTGATATAAATGAATTTAAAATATGGAATTCATTTGTAAATGAATTTTCATGTTTGGTATGATTAATTTAAAACATGTAATTCAATTGAATTCCAAGTAATCATGTATGGAATAAATTTATGATTAAAAATTCATTTGCTTTTGTTTTCTAAAATATCCTTGAAATAATAATTTCACAAAAATAAATAACAAATATAAATTATATTTATGTTATGTTACATAATTTTTTTTATATTTTATTAAAATAAATATATAAAATTTATAAAATAAAAATAATATAATAAAATTATTAATTTAATTTTGGTGATAATAATATTAATAAAATTATTAAATTTAATTTTGGTGATAAATGCATATTTAACTTGAATATCTCTCCTCAATAGTAAAAAAGATATTAAAATAAAATATGAAAAATATTAAAATAGAAAAACACAATAATCAGAAAATATTTTTCTAAAAGAATAAAAATTTTAAATTGTTTAATAAATAAGTAAAAAAATTGAAAATTGATTTGTAGAAGGAGAAGGGCAATTGTGTCATACAAAGTTGGATGACTTAGTTTTGTGGAATTCATTTGAAAATTTCATCTATTTTTGTGAAATTTGGTATAGTTATGTCCAATTCTATGAAATTGAATTCCTAAAATTGAAATCTACAGTTTTTTTTTTCATTCTAAACACAAAAATATGGATTTCTAAATGAATTTCATAAAATTTTGTGGATTCATTTGTTTCAAAAAAGGGGTAAATTTCACAAAAATAGGTGAAATTTTCGAATGAACTTTATAAAACTAAGCAATCAAATTTTATATAAGTAATCTGCCCTTCTCCTTCTAGAAAATCAATTTTTTAATTTTTAAATTTATTTAACTTATTTATTTTATCAAACTTGATCAAAACCATTTGAAAATTTTATTTTTTTAAAAAATATTTTCTTTGTTATGAAATAATTGTATATCATATATGCGCTTGAAGTTTGTATTCTTAATTATTGTGAACTCTATCTTCCTGATTTATATAAGACTCTATTAAGATTCCACTTATGTAATTATATATATATGGCTTTTCATTAATAATAGACACACTCTCGTATTATCTCCCTATTATCTCTATTCTCTTTTTATTTCTCTCCTTATTTTTTATTATTTTATAACACGTTATCAGCACGATTTTGTTCTACCACTTCGATTTTTATTGTATCGCTCTTTTGATTAAATCACAAGATAACTTATGGTTTGTGACAATCAAAGTTAAGATTCATGTATATAAGTTTGTTGAACTTCATGAGTTAATTTTATATATTCTTGAAAATATAATTATTATGATTAATTTATATAATATATTGATCTGTTATTGAACGAAATAAATAATTTTAATTTTAGATGTATGTATATGGCTATTTATATTAAGGAAAGCAGTCACGAATTTTTGTTTTACTTTTGTTTTTGGCTTTATAAAATAACATAAATTATTTAGATATACATGATTTGATCTATTATTTTACAGTCATTGATTAGTTAGTTCAGGGAAAAAAAATACAATTATATTTCAGATATACTTCATAGGATTGAAAACAATGATTAACTATTGATTTTTATAAGCTGAATAGAAAACCACGTTACATGGTCATGCCTTGTCTAAACTTATTATTTGATAACAATACATGAGTTTTAATACTTGTGTAATTTCTATATGACTTGTACTTTTCAATTTTTATGGTGCAGTTTTGTGACCTTAATATAATTAATATATATGTTTATAACTAAGTTAAAGAAGATAAAATTGATTTTTGATAGCTGACATGAATATGTTAATTGATGTGATACTTTCTTACTGCTCATCAAATTTTATTATATGCTTTCTTTTGTTAGAACAATAGTTTCTATTAGCTAATTGATATATTATAATAAAAGAATTATTCATGAAAATTTTATGTTGATGTTGCTAATGATATATTTGATATGTGCATTGACTCTATATACGTCCCTTTATTGCTAATTAAACTTTGGTAATATTAGTTAAAAAGAATTGTGCTTGAAACCATGAAAACAATAAAGAAATTAGGTAAGCAACAAAATCAAGATTGTTAATCTTTGATTGTCTTTCCATACATGTATTTCATGGTAAGTATTAGTATTTTAATTATATTGATAATTTTATTCGTTCATGTATTGATCTATACGTTTAATATTATTTGATTCATATATTTTTATGTGAAAATAAAACTTGACAATTTATTTGTCAATTATAAAAATAATATTGTTCTTGTTATATTTGGAGTTTACGTTTTAGTGGCTCTTGTATAGAGATCTTGAATTATTGACGTTTTTGTATTACGCGTAAGAATTATTTATCATGGATCTAAGATGATGAAATATATTTGAACCCAATGGATCTTGAAGATATAAAAGAAAATTAAAAATCAAATCAAAATAGTATAAGAGCAATAATTTTTCTATATTGAATATTTGATAATTAAATTTTCGTTTGTTTTTTGGAATGCTTTGAAAGAAAAGTACAATTACCGAAGGATCATCATGAATAAATGCATTTATCGTTACAAAGCTTGCAAACTGTAAGTTATTTTAATTTTGCAATATCAAGGTTATTGTCTTTGTTACGCCTGACTCTAATCACTAGAGGAAAAACTGTAAGTTATTTTAATTTTGCAATATCAAGGTTATTGTCTTTGTTACGCCTGACTCTAATCACTAGAGGAATTGTCCGCTTTGAATCAAACCAAATACCCCATACAAGATTGGCAAGATTCACACGGTTATATCCAGCAAGTGAAATGGGAAACTTCTCAGAAGGTCACCTATTTTAAGATTTTTATTAAGCGAGCACGTTTAACCCTGTAGTTCTTCCAACTCTCTAGCCATTCCACCAAAAGGCGCCTCTAATGCTTAATTTTCCCATTTTCGATATATGATTCGATTCATTCCTGTCCCGCATTCCACTACCCTAGCTAGCTTGCTATCCTAGAAGCTAGAGTCAGGAGCTTCGCTCTACCCGCCCTCTTAGGACCGCTTTGCGCTTTGCCCGAGTAGGGATGTGGGATGTCACAGGCCCACCAGCTTCCGTGTGGTTTGTCCTCGAACCATACATCTACTAGAGGGGGTCCGGCTCTGATACCACTAAATGTAACACCCACCACCCAATCCCGCGAGACCTAACGGCGGATGCTACATTTGGTGTCGAAGACACCGTCCTAACTTAACATATAGATCATAAAATTAGATTATGAATTAGAAGTAATTCAGTATTCATAAGTTTAGCGAGTAATAAAATTTTTTTATAATATCATTTCATTTCATTTCATTTTCAACTTTTTTTTTTCCTATATAGATTGGGAAAAATTCTACAGAAATATTGTAAGAATTTCCCTTTAAAAACTGAACTCGCCAAGCATGTGAATACAAAACTCTCCCAATTAAACTCCAAACTCTCAACATCTCCAAATAATCATCATAACACAACAACACTTCTATATCTTTATAACTATATAAATCCTCAATAGCATTTTACTATTCATCAATTAATTGCATTCATTATATATATTAAGTCTTAATAAACTAATCATACCAACTATCTTAAAATATTTTATATTAAATTATTTAATAAATGTTATGCTTATATCAATAGTCATAATAAATTCCATTAACCAAAATCACTTAAACTTCATCAAATACATATACTAAAATCAATACTCTAATTAAATTCAAATACATATACTAAAATCAATACTCTAATTAAATACATTCTAATGTCCTTGAATCCGAATCATTTAGTTCTCTTATTAGATAATACTAGCAACTCATTCTCAACTTACTCCTTCCACAGGCACATATACACACATTCATGCATTTTATGTACCTATTTCACATTCAACAAGTATTAAATAAAAAATAGCATGCTTTCATAATTTAACTTCAACTTAACATTTATAATCTGAATCATGCATAACTTAACATATCTTCTTGCGCACACAACCTTACAAGTTCACGCTTCATCTTACATACTTAAATTATATATAAATGTCATTTTCATGATTAATTCGTAAACCAATATACTTCACAGTTCATGAATCTATACAAGTGAATTCATTTCATTTATAAAACAATCTTTTCATTTATCAAAACTTTATAAAACCTTTATAAAAACCCACTTGAAAACTTATTTTAAATTTTTTTTATTTTTTTATATCCAAAGTTTTCAAAAGAAGGAAAAATCCTCATAGCAAAATCATTTATTCATAAGCAACATAAAAAAAAGTATGCTTCTTATGGATTCAAATAAACAAACCTTTTCACAAGTCAATCACGCTATCAATATCATGGATACAAATCAATTTCGAAATTAAAATTCATATTTTCAAAAGTCAAATCTCAAATATACTTATAACACTTAGAAATCATATCAACTCAAGAAAAAGAACACAAATCCTTAACGTCTCAATAATATCTCATCTCCAATAAATACCACATCAAATCCCTATCCCTTATTCTCTAAGAATTTCCTCCAAGAATAATTCATTCAAATGGTCCATAAGGATATAACCATTAATCATCAGTAGTAACCTCAATATATACTTCGCTTACCACAATACCATTCTCTAATGGCTGGTTGTTTCCAAATCACAATCCAAGATATCCATTGATATTGTATATCCCACTTCAGAGTCGTATCCCTTATAAAACCTATATGGCATGTAACTTCACTTAATTACATATGATACTTAGTTATAAAATAAACCTAGAACCGCCTAA